ATAGAAAGAAAACCAACACACAAACCAGAAATCTCACAGTAATAGAAGTAAAGTATATATCTTTACTACATACTGTACTCCGGAAAAGAGATGAATCGAACATCCAGGTGTTAAAACACAATATTTAGCAAATATCTTACCTTACCATTGGCGACTTTTCCTATTAAACAATAAATTTATATGCGAGTTAAGTCGGCTTCGATCCGACATCTACTTTCTCGACAAAAAAGTCCTTTACCAATTAAGTTATTAACTCTAAGTATTACATTGTTATACAGCCAACCGAATTCGAATCGGTGCACTTCGTTTGGAAGACGAACGGTCTACCGTTAACCTATAGCTGTTTATATTATAGTATAAAAATAATATCGTATATATGTATAACACTACATTACTAATGTAAATTATAACAGTTTGTTTACTTTTTTTTTTAACCCAGATATATCTCCTAATAGTGAACGGTATGACCTAAAAAAATCTTCTTATTATTGAGTAACCTTTACTTTGTTGGTAAGGTAATGCATTTGTTTTGTGTATAATACCTAATCTTATTATTAGTTGGGAGTTTCACTCGTTGTTTTTATGGGGTTAGGTAGGGATACAAAGCTATATTTGTAGTAAAGATTACATTTTTTCAGTGCCATTAGGCGCCAGCGTTATATTATACCCACAAAAAAGGTATGTACTGTCTCTTAACCACGTAACGAGTGTGGGTCATACTAGCATAATGCAACAATGCTTAATGGCGAGGAAGATGACAATACCAAAGCTACGCATAAACCACATTATTATTTAAAGATGTTTTTCCCCCCTTTGTAAGAAGAGATATTAAATCTTCCACTAGTGCAGCCTTAACCCACACACCTAAACATCCGTGCACACACGTAATACTCATTACATGGCAAAAAGGGCTGAGACAGGGCTGGGACAATAATAACTGTATTCCAATCATATAATAGTTAAATATTGTATTAAAGCATATAATGCTTTAAAAAGCATTAAATATTGTAAAGCAAAAAAAGTCAGAC